ACTTCAAAGTTCATAGTTTATATAATGTAGAAACTACTGCTGCGTGTGTGTTCATAACTTTGGAAGGAAAGGTAAAGGATATTTTTTTATAAAAATTATTTTTTTGTGGTTGCTTTTATAGTTTTTTGTTTTTGGGTTTTCGAGACAAAATTTCTCGTATAACAGTCCTGGCTGTCCTGGAATTTGCTTTGTAGACCAAGCTGACCTTGATATCACTGAGATCCACCTGCCTCTGCCTCCCTAGTGCTGGGATTAAAGGTGTGTGCTGCCTGGTGGAATTTTTTTATGTTACCTTTTTTCTTATTTTTCTTTTATTAAAAATAGATTTTTTTCATACACTATATTCTGATTATGACTTTTCCTACCCCAACTGCTCCAAGATCTTCCCAATAAATCTAAATCCACCCCCTTCCTGTCTGTTTTTAGATAATAAGCAGTCAGCCGGGCGGTGGTGGTGCACAGCTTTAATCCCAGCACTGGGGGGGGGGGGGTAAAGGCAGACAAATCTCTGTGAGTTCGAGACCAGCCTGGTCCACAGAGTGAGTTCTAAGACAGACTCCAAAGCTACAGAGAAACCCTGTCTCAAAAAACCTAAAAAGAAAAAAGAAAATAGTCATCTATCTAAAGAATAGTAGTAAAATGAGATAAAGCAAAAACAAACATCCTCATCTTATTATTTTATGTCCACAGTAATCCTGCCAGTAAATGGAATTTTCAAGACTTTTGTAGGTGAGAAATCCAAGGATCACAGAGTTATACATCTTTCCCAGAGTTGTGCTGTTCCTAAGTGGTAGATCTGGGATTCAAACCCAGTGATTCTTCAGTTTCTAGTGTAGTCTACTGGTCAGCAAGTCTCTCAGTGGACAGCAAAGGGAGGAAGACAGAGCAGAGCTCCAGAGGACAGAATCTACTCCTTCTGGTCTAGGGCCTTCATATTCCTTCTGGGCACATCTCTGGCTATGAGCACACCTCTGCTCCTTGCCCTGAAAACTCCCAGGACCAGACCTCTCATGCCAGGCACTTTAGGTACTCTATTACAAAACTTCTGGAGGTTTTAACCCCAAGGTTCGGAAAAGCCCACCGGAGCAGGAAGGCCATCCCAAGAACCATGGCTAGACTCCTCTTCTATGCCTCCTGTTCAGGGATAGCAGAGATCTTGATGGAGTGAGTCAGGCTCTATCTACCCTCTGTCCTTTGCTAATATTGCTAAAACAGAACCACCGCCTTCTGTGAAGATGCGACTGGGTGCCACGAGGGCTGCTTTGCAGGGGACTATGGGAAGAAGCCATGCCTGGCCATCATGAGTCACCCCCTGCAGCACAGCACTCGGTTACCCTCAACTTGCCTTCTAACAACGTGCCCAGGGCCACTCAAGGCTGCCACCGCATGGAAGGAAACACTCTGTCGGGCTACAGGAGGCCCCTTGGCAGGGGAGGCTTCACTCGTGCAAGACAAGTATTCTACCAGCGAGCAACAGCCCCAGACCATGCAGTCTAGGCTCTGATTGCCACACCTCCCACCTCCTGACATAACTGCTGACTGTGAATTCAGGCAGAGAGAGACCATTTGGCCTCACTGCCAGGACTGATGACTGACACAGAGGAGCCCCAGTACTGTGGACTTGGAACCTCCAACGTTCAGACTCCTGGCAGACCCAGTAGGTCTCATCTCCTGAAGAGACCGGTTTCTACGTCTCTAACGTGGCGTCGTAGAGATCTATCTGCAATGGTACTGCAATTGAGCACCCAGCACACGGAGCGGAAATCCGGCCACAGGGTGGCCAGCACAGGGTGTGTGCTAGTCCCTGGCATACACTGGCCTGGCTGAGGGTGATCTGCCGAAGGTTCTGGACTTGTGCTAAGGATGTCCTTGTAATGACAAGAATTTCCCTGTGTCCCTTGTACAAGTTTTAAAAACCCTCACCGCTTGCATAATGCAACCATTTGGGGTCTGCCTTAACTTGGACTCAACTCCTTCACACAATAAACTGAAAAGAGCCTAAACGAGAAATAAATGACTATCGCACATGGGGATTAATTTTTGGCCCCATCTCCCCATCTTCCCACCCATTCCCCGGGCTCACCAGAAGGCATGGACAGTCTCCCGCTGCGGAGGCCATCTCCCTTTCGGGATCGGGTTCCCATCTCTTCTGTAAATGCAGACACTCTGTGGCGTTCCTCCCACCGACTTCAGCTGGAAATCCAACTGCCTACGGAACACTGTGTTTAGCAGGTCACCCTGGCTCCTGCAAACTGGAGGCTGAAAACAACGAAGCCTTTGCTGGAGAATTTGTTGGTTGCTCTGGAGAGTGCCTCTGGGGCAGATCCCACGTGGTGACAAGATCTTTCCAAGCCGTGATAATTCAATCTTCTACAAAGGCCTGACTCTTCAAGCTCAGCATCCACGGTAGCTGTTCTTGCTCATCCTCACCCACATCTTGAAGTGGACTTGGGGGGCTACTATCAAGGTGAATGCACAGTTCTTTGGCAGGCAGGCAGGGTGAGGGGCTGTGTTGGGAGTTACTGTGTCACTCGGCTTTGGGCTACCATTGGCAACACTGAGAGATCAAGTTTGCTTTAGCTCACTGTTTCAGAAATGCAGGGCATGAATGTTTGGCCCTGTTGTCTGGGAGGTAGTAGCATTTAGTACTGCAAAAAGAAACAGGAAGGCACCAAAAACCCAGTGTTCCCTTCAAGAGCAGGCCCCCAACAGCCAGACTTTCATTCACAAGGCCACACTGGTCAATAATGTCATTGTGTAGGGACCAAGTCTTTGACATATGGGTTGGGGTGGGTATCCAAATTAAAGCATTATCTTGGAGCTAAAGATCATTTGACAAAGCCAGCCCAGAGACAACAGGGTCCCCCGTAATCGCAAACCACTGGCAGCTGTTAGAGGGAAACAGCGTGGAGGGGTGGAGCTACTGCAGTCTGAAGACCCTGCTTCAAAAAAAAAAAAAAAGACAACAGAAAATTCCTTAAAGGAGGTAAATATGACCAAAGTACGTCGTCTCCATTATCAAAGTGTCATAATGAAACCGTTACTTTGTGTGATTTACATATGCTGACAAAAGAATTAAAATACATATATATTTTACGTTTACGTGTTGACTCTGAAGCAGATTTACATAACACCTTCCCCTAACCCTTAGGCCAACTGATTAAGAATTCTTTGTTCACGTGCTGCCACCTGGTGGCCAAAGTGAGAAAAGTGCTATCGCCGAAAAACAAAACACCTGTCTTCTTTACACCCCCCCCCCCCCACACACACACACACGTGCCTAGCCATGAGCCACTTTGCCTGTAAAGGTGGCAACAAGAGGCTTCTTGGGTGAACAAACGGGCTGACCACACAGCAAACTTGCTGGTTGCTTTCCAGTGTAAAAGACAGTTTCCTTGCTGTTTGCTTGCTAACCCACATGACAGCTGTGTTCACTTAAAATCTTACTGGTGTCCTATTATTTCCAGGTGGTCTGAATTCCATTGTGAAGGTGGTAGAGGACCCTGTGGGAGGTCATGTGACTGTGCCTCACTTGGGTCTCAGACTTAGGGGACCCTGGGTTAAATGCTTCTACATGCAGCGGGCACCTTACTCTCGGTCATGAAAAGATGTATGGACTGTCAGCTTGTCGAGGGCAAATTCAGACAGGTTTACATACTGGGGCCTCTTTCTAAACCCTGAGTGTCTCCTCACTCCTGGTCAGCCAGAATCAGCTGCATTTGAAAATATGACCTCCTACACACCTGGGCCCTTGAATGCAAAAGTGAGCTCCCAGCTGCTATAAGCCAGTGTCTGTGGTGGGGAAACACTCTCAGTAACAGGGAGGAATCCAGCTAATCCGTCGGCTCTTCAGACAGTCCCAGAGGCCCCTCCTCTGCCCTGGGTTCCACCTCTTACCTGCAGCGTTCAGTTACAGAAAGATGAGTTGACTGGTGGCCCATATATGGAGGTATCTCATGGCCTACAAGCCGTATTCTGAGGATTCTTCCTAGCCAGGCACAGTAGCACATGCCTGTAATCCAGAACCCAGGAGGCTAAAACAGTCGGGTCTTAAATTCAAGACCAGCCTGAACTCCATGAGTTTCAGGCCAGCCTTAGCTACACAGCAAGACCTATCTCAGAATACTGTCTCCGCCTTTCTGTCCCATGTGGCAAGCAGGCTTTGCACAAGCTCCTGCCTACACACTGCTTTGCCTCACCGTGGAACCCAGAACCCATAGGAGACAACTCTCAGAAGAGTCTGGCCGCTTTTGTTTTCCGGGATGATCCCCGGTGTATCTGTCTTCCTGCAGAGGACAAAGCTTTCCTTCTTATTTATGGCTTAAATGAAGCTCCATTGTACACCTCCCGAATGTGAATGCCCTGGTGTGCAATGGAACCTGAGTGACAGACATGCAACCCTGCAGCACCGTGTGGATGGGAGGAGGTACAAGAGCTGGAAACTGAGGCCTGGGAATCAAACACCCTGTTACTCAGCGACAGAATCCTAATTGTTGCATGCTCAAATACTCTCCTAAAGAGCGTTCAGCACAGTGACACCAGGATGTGTGCGCTGGGCAAGAGCAGAACTTCGAGCTGACATGAATGTGAGGTTAACTAGCCCATTATTAACAATCAAAAGGAAAGCAGGTGACAGATATGAGCATTTCTGCAAAGGAAACAGTGTGTGACAATATCTCACTATCAGAATTAATTAAATGCTGGCAATGGCTATCTAATCCTTGTATATTTGGGGATGTTTTTGGTTTGGCTTTTTGGTTTTATTTGTTTTGGTGCTGGTGGTATAATCTCAGTACCCTGAAGGCACAGATTGGCAGACCTCTGTGAGTTCAAGGCCAGCCTAGTCTATGTAGTGAGTTTTAGGTTAGCTAGGGCTACATCCAGAGTCCAGAAAGTCTTTTCCCCCTAGTGACAACAAACCATTTGGGAGATGAAGGCTAAGAGATGAATACACCTCAATACTTTGTGTGCTTTTTCTGGTTCCTCCAAGTCATTATTTACATTTTTCCCTCCAAAGATCTAATGTTTAAAGTATTAATTATGTATGAATGTGCATGTGTATAAATGGATTTGTGCACTGGGGTGCAGTGCCCATGGGGGTCAGAAGAGGGCGTCAGACCCCTTGGACCTATAGATGGTTGTGAGCGGCCTGATGTGGGTGATGGGAACAAAACTCAGATTCTCTAGAAGAGCAGCACACGCTCTTAACCATTAAGTCACCTCTCCAGCCCTAAAACAATCTGTTTAGGGCAGAATGAAGAATGTGAGCATGGTCACCTCATTCTTCGATTGTTCGTCATTACAACTGACATTCTTACACTGTCTGATACAAGCACTCCTTGCAGTTTCTAATCAAATATTTATTTTAATATTGATATGCTAAATTAGAAATAACTGAAGTGTCCTTTGCAACATCTGTTTTTCCAAGGCACATTGGGGAAACTGTATCTGGTGTGCTGTATGTTCTGTAATTCTCAAGAGCCATGACTGAGGTCGCAGTAAGACCTTTGCCTGAAGCTGACAGTACACACTGCCCAGACGTCCTCAGCACAGACTGGACTGTTAACCCCCTCTGCCCTGGCATCTCTGTGCAGAGGACTGTCACACACTGTCACCGAGACACTCAGCCTGCTGAAAGCCTCCTCGTGGAGGGAAGACTATCGTAGAGCAGATTAAAGTCCGAGAGCTAGAAGCCCTCAGAACTTCAGCTACCCTGAGGAAGATACTGCACGGTCCGGAGCAGGAACAAAGCATATGACCAGACTGTGCTTCTCCAGCCTGCATTTGAGTCTTGGGCTGGCTTTGTCACCACCCCATTAGTCAGGCCTGGCATGGTCGAGGAAAGGATGATCAGGCATGTGCCAGCTTCCATCACCAAAGTACACCATACAAACCCAAATTTCCAATTCCCGAACTAACCAGCCCCCCGACGTGGGGCTGCTCAAGAATAAATAAGCTTTGTTTCGGAAAGCTGCGTGCTTTAGTTCAGGGCTGCACGGGGCACAGGCACGGCACTCAGGTGCCAGGGAGAGCGTCACCCGCCCCAGTGCTTCCTGAGGTGCTCCTTCAGCTGCGGGATGGAAGGCAGCAGCTGCTGGCACTTGTGGCAGCGAAGAGGCAGCTTCAAGAGCTCAGAAGTCCCATCTTGAACAGTCACTCTGCCAACTTCTTGAACCATCTTGATCACAGCTACAAGCAAAAAATAAGGTTCAGATCCCAGCTACTCTGGACAGCCAGTAAGATGTCAAGAAAAAAGGCCAAAAACATGTTGATTGTATCAATCAACAGATCTGCTATCCTAAAGCTCACACGCTTCAAGTTAGACTTCACACTGGGAAAATGCACTTGACCAGATTCTAGGTCTGAGCAACCTACCTTTGAGATGACACACTCCCTCAGGACACAGTCCACGCACCACCCATTACCGCCATGGCTTTCTCCAGGTGGCTCTTTGCTAAATGGTAGTTGTCCCATTAACAATGCAGCAGTACTGGTTACACAGCAAATATTCTAGGAAATGCTTACATCTCAAATACACATAGTACCCGTGAAACACTGCTAACAGGAGAGAGCCCCAAACTCTTGCTCAACTCCTGACAAGAGAGAAGAGAAAGAGAGTTCTTCAACCAAGAACTCTGTGAGCATTTAGACATGAAGTACAAAGTGTCCCCCCACCAAAGCCTCATGCATTGTTAAGTGTGGACCCCAGCTGTTGGTGCTATTTGGTGGGACGGTAGAAACTTTAGGAGGTAGGACCTAGCTGGAGAAAACAGGTCACTGGGGACACCCTTGAGGCTGTGTTGTGTCCCAAGTCCCTTCCCTAAGCCCCTCCCTCTCTCCTCTTTCTCTCAGTCCCTGGCTACCAATAAGTGAGCAGTGTTGTTCATCATTGCCCTCCCTGCCGGTGTTCTGCCCCACCGTCGCCCAGCAGCAGAGCCAGGCACGAGTCCTCTGAGACTACGACTCTAAACACAGCTCTACCTTCTTAGGTGTTGTCGGGGATGCTGTCCCTGCGGCAACAGCAAGGCCGACTGCACACAGCTTCCCAGCCAAGAGGCTAAGCCAGCTCACTAGCTCTGGACACCTGGCACACCAGGCAGCCATTAACCCCTCTACTGTCAAAAGGAAACACTTCGGACCCCAACACACAGCTGACTGTATCCCTCCAGGATGCTCACAGCCAAGCAGCAATTCTGTTACAATGAAGCACCTGTGTTCATTTTCGGAGTGCATATTTTATAGAGATCACTAAATGTATGTGGGTCACCTGAGGTCAGGTTGTGACTTAGAGAAACACTGAGTCAGGTAGTAAAACATCTAAGAAAATGAAATGAATTGTTTAAAAAAAAAAAAAAGAATACTATTTACCTTGTGATTCCAGAAAATATTCTGTATTGAAGGAATTCCAATGTTTTTTGTTTTTAAGGCAAGGAGAATCGAAATCCTGGCTGATCACATGAAGGTGTACATGGCTAGTTAGAAGTTGAAAAACAAAAAAGAACTGAGTATTAAAAACTGCAGTTTAATCAAAATGACACCACAGTAAGTGCAGGTACATAACGTTCTGATGCTGCGTCATTACATGCGACACAGCCTTTCATTTACTTGGGAATAGTTAATGTGCTTGGGAGATAACACACGGCCCAAAGTGCCGCCTGTCTGCTGACATGCTCTTTTCCTGCTTCAGGGTCATGGAACACTCCTTCTTGTCTGTCTTAGCCTCCAATCTGAGCTTGGTCTCGATACCTTTGATGGGTTCTGGCTGTTTGTAGGCCATGTGTCTTTCCTTTTTGTTTTTTTTTTTGAGGCTGGGTTTCTCGGAGGTTTGGGCTGGCCCTGAACTCACCACATGGCCAGGCTAGCCTTCAATTCCTGATCCTTTTGCTTCTGCCTCCTGAGTGCTGGCCTTAGGTGTGAGGCCCATGCCTGTCAGGGAGCTCTCTTTCAGTTTGGCTGTGTCGTGATTCCTGTGGTGTCCTCGTCACGTCAGAGGTGCATGGTGTTGAGGTGACCTGTGACGTGCGGCGTTAATCTTGGTCATTTTGTTGAGGTGTTGCCTGCCAAGTTTCTTCACTCAGACTTAGTTTTTCCTTTTTAACTGATGACTATCTTGGGGGTAATATTTTTAAGAGTATTACTACCCTGCTGCTCAAATTTAGACTCACCATTTTATTATCTATTGGTAGATTTTATTTTTATTTTTAATTGATTTGTTTGAGACAGGCCTCACTGTGTATCCAGGTCTGTGGGCCCCTGGTCTCCCTTATTCCTAGGGTGCATTGGCGGGGACAGTTTGTTATCAGTTAACTAAGCTTCCTGTGTGTTTCCGTGCTATCCCTGCCCCACCTGGTGATTTAGCTGCAGGCAATCTTCTCCATTGTTAATATGGTAATTTCCCACCTACCTGGGCNGGAGAGATCTTTGTGCTGCAGTTAGGTAGAAAAAGGCTTCCCCAAGTCTGAATAAACGGCATTAGCTTGATCTCCTATCGAATGACCCTAGTCTCTGTATCTTGTGTTCAATCTCCAGGCCCTTGCCCGGACTCGCATTCGGTACAGCTGCGCGCGAACTGTACCGAGGGTGTAACACCAAAACCGGGTGTTACACAGGTCGACCTGGAACTTGCTATTTTGCTCAGGCTGACCTTGAACTCAGAGTTGTCATCCTGCCTCAGTTTCCCTAGTGCTGGGATCACTAATTTGATGAACCGCACTGAGCTCTATTGGGGGCACTTGCCCACAATGCGATTACTCTGCTCCTTTCCCAGGGCTGGTTTGATGCTCCTCCCACCTACTGTATGAAGCGGACTGCTCTGTGTGGGAGCTGTGTCTTCTTCCCCCTTGTTTCAGGTGTAGGCTCATAGATATCTGTAAATTCTAATCCACTGCTTCAGTTTTTAAACCTATGTTTATTTACTTATTTTTTTGAGGCATAAATTATTCCATCTTGGGTCACTGAAAGCTCCTTTAGGTTGGCTTGTCATTCCATACCCTTCACAGTTTTTAAGGTTGACTTTGCTTTCTGTTCCTGCAAGGCACCATAGGTTCATCATCTCCAGAGAGGTCTAGATGCCAGGTGTTTTTTGTTTTGTTTTGTTTTCCCTCAAGACAGATTTCTCTGTGTAACAGTCCTGTCCTGGAACTCACTCTGTAGACCAGGCTGGCCTCAAACTCACAGAGATCCTCCTGCCTCTGCCTTCCCAGTGCTGGAATTAAAGGCGTGCGCCACCACACCTAGCAGTACCAGGTTTCTCTAAAGAGAGAAGCGGTTAACTTTAGAGCGTCTTTACTTCTACATACTTCTGCATCAGGAAATAGCACACAAATCCTAAGCCTCTCCCTACCTCTGACTTTGTATTCGTATCTGCAGGTGGGAAATGGTAATTCCTGCTGGTTCTCCTCCAGACTTGACCCTCTTAGCTTCCGGGTCATGCTGGTAACCATTCCTCCCAGTCCATCTCCACAAGCAACACACATCTTGTTTTCCTAACTTCCTTTTCTGTGTCTTCTTTCTCTACCAGGAGAAACTGGATGTCCCTCATTATGAACACTCACATGTCCAGTCCTAGCATATGTATGATGTAGCTATAGATTGCTACCCACCCCCGTGCAAAGACATTTACTACAGTGTAGTACAGTGTTCGTGATCTCCAGGGGAAGTTTCAAGACAGCCAGGGCTACAGAGAAACCCTGTCTCAAAAAAGCAAAAAAAAAAAAAAAAGTCTCAAAATAAGAACTTTTTTATGTTGTTTACTTTAGTGTAGTTTTTTAAAAGCTGGGGCTGAGGGTAAACCTCAGAGGTGCAGCCCATGCATCTTGTTGCTTGGACCAAATAAGCTAACGGAATAGTCCTGCATGCACTCTGTGTGGAAAAACAATAATTCTACCCCAAATCCTTCTGCAAATAAGCCAACAAAGAGCAGACTCCACTGTCCCTCACTTTGTTTGAAACTGTGCACACCCTAAGCTTGTATTTACAGATGTCTGTGATGTTGTTTCCTTTAGAGTCATGGTCCTTAGTCATTTAGGAATTAGAGATAACTCCAAGAATTCTAGCAAGCCACTGACAATAAGTGCCCATCTACAAGGAGTGAAGCTACTTCATCCAGTCTGCATGTTAAGAGGCTTACATTTTGAGAGAAATAAAAACTTCAAAGGACTGAATTACAGGCAGAAGCAGGCACTTGGGTTGCTCACAGGCAAGTCAGGCAGATGCAAAATTCGCCCATCTACTTGGAAACATCCCACTTTGGGCCTTGAAATTACCTGACTCTCAAGTCCATGCTAATCACCAGAACCAAACCAGAGAGCACCACATCACCCAAAGCTTACCTCATGCTGGGAATGGCGTGGTAACCCAAGCGGAAGCTCAGTTTGCTGGATCCAGCAAAATCTGCAATCACCTTTTCCCCCACGGTGTGCATGTGTTTGAGAAGTTCAAGGTGTTCGCTGGTCACAGCCTTCAGACTGGAAATGGAGGCCCACGGTAAGACCAGCCAATGGTGACGGGCCTTGGGATATTTGTCCTTAATCACTACCACCAGATCATCTTTGTAGACCTAGCAGAAGGCACACAGGAAGGGAAGAGATGTCAGCTGAGGACCTCTGTGCATGCACAGTCCACGTACTGACAAAACCTTGTACAAAGAGTTTTAGGAAGTGAGAGCAGACACTGATAGCGTCACATAACTACACTGTGCAGAATCTAGGGTTCCAACCCAAATCACACAGACTCCAGAGCCTGTGTTTTCAAACACCACACTAGGTAGGATACAGAGAAGATACACAGTACAATAGAGTTCTCGAGGCCTCCATGTTAAATCTCCACAGGGAGAGTTCAACCGCAGCGTCTCTACCACAGACCTGAATACATGTGTGTAGATTTCAAGGAGCCCTAACTGAAGTGAACCTCGAAGGCTCCTCCAAGGATGACGACTGACTTCCGACATGAAGACGGCTATTACTACAGTCACCACACCTTATCTGATGGTCCCTTAATACAAGGGACCATGCTTGGGTCAGCACCATTTTTTTTAACATTTATTACTTATTTGGAAAAATCATAGAGGACAATTTAAGGAATTGGTTCTTTCCTTCTACCATGTCGGTTCCAAGAAACAAACTCACTTTAAGAATCCGCCTTGGCAGCAAGCACCCTCCCCAACTAAGCCAGCCTGCTGGTACAGTTTCTCTGAATAGCAGACAATATCTGAAGAAGTGAGCTTCTCTCCAAGGACCTCCAGGTACCACTTTTAAAACTTTTATAAAAGCACTTATTTTTACAAACTCACATAAAAACCATCTCGCAGGTAGATTAAGACAGCCACTCAAACACTCGCCTATCACCAAATAGATCTTGATGAGCTTTTCTACAGTTAGAACGGCCATTCTAAAGCTGCGGAGCTTCACTTAGGGCTTAACAGCTTCATTATCACTTACAATTTTATGCACTCATCTGCCACAAAAAAAAAAGGGAAAAGAAAAAACTATGGCAGAGTTCAAACTAGAAAAACAGTTCATGTGCTCTTTCATGGTTCCTATGTCCATCAATAGACAGTGGATAATGAGCATACACTTACATACAGAATGGAGACATTAGGAAATCAGAGGCTGGGTATGGAGGCATACCAGCACTCATGAGGCAGAGGCAGACAAATCTCTGAGTTTCAGGACACCCAGGGCTATATAAGAGACCCTGTGTCAATGGAAGGAAGGAAGGAAGGAAGGAAGGAAGGAAGGAAGGAAGGAAGGAGGGAGGGAGGGAGGGAGGGAGGGAGGGNGCGCACCTTGGGGTGCTTACACACATTATTAGAAATGGGCTAGTCCAGGTGCAAGAATTAGCCTGTAAGGGCTAGAGTTCATGGGCCAAGCAGTTCTTAAATGAATACAGTTTGTGTGTTGTTATTTCGGGCATGAGCTAGCCAAGTGGCCGGGGTGTTGGGGACGCAGCCCCGCCGCCGCTTCCTATTTCAACACAACATCACTATTGTAGAAGGGAACCAGGATGTGCTACCTCTCCTGTGCGATCACAGCAGGAGCAAATTGCTGTTCTGAGGTACAGGGTTGCTGGGTGTCTTCTGAATGTGCTAGGGCAGGTTGTCTGCAACGCCAGAACTATTCAGTGGATACCAAGGGCAGAGGTTTGCATTGCTCTTGTAATTTCAAGGCTGGGTCAAACACAGGTCAAATTAGGATTATTACAAATCATGAATTGGGTTTGGGATGTAGCTCAGTTGGTGGAGAGCATGATTCGGATACACAAAACCCTGGATTGAATCCCCAGCACCATATAAACTGGGCAATGTGAACACACGCCTGTCACCCCAACATTCAGAAAGTGGAGGCAGAAGGATCAGAAATTCAAGGTTATCCTTGGCTACGTAGCAAGTTTGAAGCCAGTCTGCAATAAATGCTAAAAGTCAAACAAACAATAGGACAACTTGCAGTGATTATGCAGCAAAGAATATAGGCACATTTCCAAATCCAAGCTTCTGCTGTTGGTAAAGCTGGACTAAAATAGATAAAATACCAAAATAACAAAAATAAACAAGCAAAAAAAAACAAAAAAAAAAAAAAAAAAAAAAAAAAAAAAGTATATTAAGCAAGGTAACCCAAAATCAGGAAGAAAAGACACCGCATTCTCCTTCATATGTGGCCCCTATAATGCATGCGTGTGTAAGCATGAGTATGGAAAGGAGCTCAAGGAAGGGTGGTATGAAGTTATATGAAGGACATACTGTAGACAAAAGGACACAGGTCTAGCGACTACTCTAGGACCGATGTGGAAGCCTTGTTCTCACAGAAAAGTTCAGTGATCAGAATCCAGAATCCTTTGGCTTCATTTATTTACAAAAATTCTGTAGAATGGTCATGTACAACTTGACAGACACAAATTATACAATTTTATTCTGACCTGCATTTTGGGATCCTTCATAGAAATCTTCAAGCCTTGACTCCAGTGGCCCACGGATTCCTAGACAAGACAGACAATGCAAATATAAATGCCAGTGATTAAATGTAGATACTGCTGCATGAGAGCAGAATCCACAGACAACACGGAAGGAATGTTAGTTTTTGAGAATTAAACTTCCTTTACCTCAGTCTACTGCCCTTTAGGACCACAAGCCTCCCTGTTGTCTTCCTATTTTTAGAACGGGGAGTAGACGGAGACCTATGAGGAACTCTGTCCTCTGTGCAAAGATTGCTGTCCTGAATAAGAGCAGCTGCGATTACCTAAACAAGACTTTCACAAGACTGGGCCAAATAACATTCCCTTGTTGGGGGTGGGGAGGACTCCTGAGAGGGCTCCTAAGGCTCCTCCCTCCCAGAGGATACACAAGCAGCTCACACTGCTGGAGAGAGAGACTGCTCTTTGATGGGGTGGCCACCCATAAGCTGCCCATGCTCCTATAAGTACCACAGTTAAAACTCACTAGTTCAGCAAGTGAGACGTGCGTGGTCTGTCATTAGTGCCCTATAGGGGTGAACAGGCGTTTGTTCACACCTCCCCAGGAAAAGCTCCACACAGCCAAAACTGCCCTCACACACTGCAGCTGCAGCTCAGCCAAGCTTCCCTCCTGACATCAACACGCAAATTGCCTGTCTATGAAGTGCTGCAGTGTTAGCCAACAGGTCCACAAGCAAATGACCCATTTTAGTGTCCAGCATTAACCACACTATTGTGGGAAGTGAAGGAGACCCTGAATGAATGTGTAACAAGTGCACCAAGTCCTGATGAATGTGTGTTGTTGATATGACCAGCGATGACAAGGACCTCAGCGCCTAGACCCAAGGAAATGGCAAAGCCTTCCCACGGTGTAAGCACCAGTGTTCACGAATGGCTGACAGGGGATGCAGACACTATCAAGCACAGCTTCCTCCTCCCAGACGGTTACAGCCCAAGACTGCGCCCTTCTGAGGCCTCCTAACCCTGCCTCCTTGTTCAGCTATGTACAATAACCCCAGCTCCTCAATGCAGATGTACAGAGTAATCACGCTGAGTTTCTGGGCTGCTGCTGATGGTACGTCTCCACTAGAAAGAACAGCCCACCCAATCCCGGCTTTCCTGTGCGTGTGTCTGTCCTTTCTTCATTCTTGTTGCACCAGTTAGGTCAATCCCAAGGCCGCGAAGAGTGCGACACAATGCCATTGCTGACTGCACCGTCTTCCTTCAAGTGGTTTGCCCCAGGAATTTAATAGGAAAGCATATAAAGGGACATTCACCAAGTGATTTTCAGGCCACAAACAAGTGACTCTTTCATCACGGTTAACAACCCTCATTATGACTAATACCACCTCACCCGTGTCCGAGCTTTATAGTGTAGAAAACAATTAAGCAGTCATTATATTCATTCATCTCCACATCACCTATCAATCACACCATCCTCACCTCTCTGGTGGCTCCATCCTTGCTCTTCTTAGAAGGCACAGCGCACTGGCTGGGGCTGCTCTCAGGTGCTTGCCCTGTCCCGGACTCACTGTCCTGAGCAGCATCCATTTCTTCACCATCACAGTCTGACCTCTTTCTCTTCTTCTGTGTTTCTAGGTCAGGACTCTTTGCTACTTCCTCAAACTCTACAATATATGGATAAAGCTCATTCACCATGTGGAGAACCTGGCCAGGCTGCAGCTTCATCTCTTGGTCCTTCCCAATGATGACGGAGTCAATGCTGCTGGGATTGACCCCCACCTGTGGACACAACCATCATGTAAGAATAAGAGCGACAACGCCATCCGTGCTAGGGCGGCTGCTGGATTAACACGTCCTGTCCTGTCAGCTGCCTGCGGTTCCCTCCATCACTAGCTGACACAGTCTAAAGCAACAGCGTAAGAGGACCATCAAGTAATAAATGGGCGTCCAAGCCACAGACACACATACCTGCTTTACTCTGACATAGCCCTTGTTACATTCTGCTTTCAACTGGACTGAAAGACATAAGAGAACATTAAGCACAGATGCGACCAAAACCAGGTACTCTGTTTTCCCTCAAAGAACCAAAAGCCCGACTGCTGCAGGCAGTCCAAAGATGAGCCTGATCTGCATGTGCCTGGGCCTACAATTTCTAACAGCTTCAAACGCTTCCATAAAATGTCCTTCAGTGAGCTGGGCATGGTGGCACATGCCTGTAACCCCAGACTTGAGAAGTAGAGTCAAGATCAGGAGTTCAAGACCAGCCTTGGCTGCATAGCCAGTGTGTGTGGTTAGTCTGGAATACGTAAAAAATATCTTAAACCCCACTTCTCACCCACAAAAATAATTTCTATCAGTGCATGTACTCCCTTAGCTACAGCTAAAAACCTTGGGGCGGGGGGATGGAGAAATGGCTCATTGGCTAAGAGTATTTTTGCTGTTATATTTCCAGAGACCTGAGTTTGGTTCCCACCACCCACACTAGACAGTTCATTACTACTTTGACCCCAGTTCTAGGGGAATCTGATGCCTCTGGCCTCCACAAGGAACTGTACTTAAATATACCCACACAGCGGCACACATATAATTTTAAAAAGTAACAATAATAAATCTTAAAAGCAAACAAATGCTTAATATCTTTCCCTTTTTAGGTTGGTTGGGGTGGGACACACCTTTAAATCCCAGCACTTAAGAGGTAGAAACTTATGGATCTCTGACTTCAAGGCCAATCTGGTCCATACAGTGAGTTCCAGGACAACCAGGACTACATAGTAAGACCCTGTCTCACAAAAATAAATATAAAAAACTTGGAATCAGCTTTCATGAATCCATGCAGCTCTGACAGAACCCTAGCCAGCTCAAGACCACAGACTCTGCCAACAGGAGGAAAACTCCTATTTCATGGTTAGATAAGACTTCTACTATTAGGAAGAATAAAATCTATCAAGAGTAGTATCTGAAGCTAAGTAAACGGCTTGCCTGAAGCGAGCCTCAGGGGTAGGGAACATTACTGCCAAATGACTTCAACAGAGAAAGAGGTAAAAGATATGTCTGTTCTTGGAAAACAGAAGCTCAAGCTGGCCTGAAGGAATGTAAAGAATGTTCTAGAAAGAGCACTGCAGGGCTGGACAGTATGTGAGAGAAGAGAACTTCAAGCACTCATGTTCAGATAAGTCGAAAGAGCACGTGGGGTCCAGACGGGGAACAGAAGAGGCACCACAGCTGCTCAGTAGTGGGGACGGGCAGAGAGCTGGTGAGCCCCAACCCCCTACACTTGCTGCTGGGAGGAGGAACAGACAGAAGCAGAGCAGTTGGTATCCTGGACCTACTCAGCTCCACACTCCAGCACACTTGGACGAACTCATACAGGAAAGTCCACACTCACTGCTGCAGACTCCAAGTCCAGAACCTTAGGGTTATGGGGACACACTTCAGGCAAGGGTGAGCATGCCCACAGTTTGCAGGCAAGTGCGTGCGTGCGTGTGTACACGCAGCTTTCCCCTTAAAACATGACAGACAAGCTGTATGGCACAGTTATACAGATCTAGCCTCTGGGAAAGGGACTATGTAAAGGCTGGCACCAGCCCCATCCAGCTTGGAGAGCCCAGAATCTGTCTTGCTGCTCAATGCATAACCCCTGGGCAAAGCAGCGTCCAAGACTCAGCCTGCCACTTCAAGGTAGCAGGATGGCAGCCACCTATTCCCATCCCTTACCTGAGCCTGCCTTAAGTGTTACTGCATCGTGAAGGCAAAATCCGGGCTGAACCAGCCCTAGTGTTAGCTAAAAAAACATAATTTATGAGCCTTGTGTTGGGAATATAATATGTTTTCCAGCAAGGGCCAGGCAGTGGTAGTACCCGCCTTTAATACTAGCAGAGGCAAGCAGATCTCTGTGAGTTCAAGGCCAGCCTGGTCTACACAGCAAATTCCAGGACAAGCTCCAAAGCTACAGAGAAACCCTGTCTCAAAATTAAAAAAAAAAAAAAAAAAGGGAAAAAAGAAATAGGTTTTCCAGCAAGAACAGCAGGAAATGTGTCTCGCTGGTTATCATTATCCCCCATAACTAAACAGTCATCTCCACATCCCAATGACCAGTTAGTTACCTTGCTGTCGGGAACATTTCTTATCTGTGATCTTGGTCTCTGGGCTTCGACCAATCACAACTGCTTCCAAATGGGGAAGTCTGATTCGCTGATGCTGGCTGTCCTGTCTCACCAACCAGCACACCCGCATCATGGCTCTGAAAACAAAAGAGAATCATGGGAGAACAAGTCACCAGGCCATACCCTCCTCACCACATACAAGACTGTGAGGAAGCTCCCAGAAGCAGGTGACTTCCCCTTCCTGGTCCCCACTTCCTCACCTATAAAGCTATGATAATGACAGGACTCGGAGGCTGCAGAGCATTAATGAGATAATGCAGGTAAATATTTACCTCTACTAATCACGCTACGCATTCAAATGTGTTACAACATTTGTTGATGCCCCGTGCTAGGCATTAGGTTACATGCAGAGGGTCCCTGAGAACTGAGTAACCCGCGGAGCTTCGAGCAGGGCTTATGAGCAGACAATTCATACACTGGTTACTGTGATACAATACAAGCACTGTGAGAAGTGGAACCAAACATGACATAGCCCGGTGACAGCACTGACCCATGAGAGAGAGCACTAAGGAGGAGTGTGTATGCAGGGTGTGGGTTGGGGAGGAGTGTGCCTGTTAGAGAACCAACTAAACAAGGAAGATGTGGACCAGGAGGGGTGGCTGAGCAGTAAGAGCACTTGCCGCTCCTTTTCTTTCTTCTTTTTCTTTCTCATCAGGGTCTCCTTCAGCACTGGATAGCAAGGAACTCACTGTAGATAGTGCTGGTCTCTGTCTCCCACATACCACATCTCAAGCCAGCCAAGACTGCATAGTGAGAGCCTGTCTCAAAAACAGGAGAGGAAGAAGACAAATCCAGGAGACGCACTCATCTTCAGGTGCCATTTGGACACTGGCAAAGGAGTGAGGAGACGCATCAAACCAAAGCAATCTCTGACATGGCTTGTGGAAGATCCAAGAATTAAGCTGAGATACACAAGTAGGAAGCGCAGGAGAATGGACGAACCGAATGTATTTGACAGGCATCAGCATGTCACAGAAGTCAAAGCAAAAAAAAAAAAAAAAAGGATGAGGTGACTCAGGAAGGCAGAAGAGAGAATCAGGGCAAAGCTAGGAGTGGGTTTCAAGATGTCTCCCCAGCCTGAAGAGCAGTGGTTCCCAACCTGATGCTGTGACCCTTTAATATAGTTCCTCATGCTATGGGGACCCCAACCATACAATTATTTTTGCTGCTACTTCATAACTATAACTGTGCTACTGTTATGAATTGTAATGTAAATATCTGACATGTGACCCCTGTGGAAGGGCCCTTCGACCCCCAAAGGGTCATGACCCACAGGTTGAGAGCCGCAGCTCCAGGACCTTCTCAATGCTCAAGTTTCTAACACTTCAGGGAAATCTTGCCTCCTCCCCAAGCAGCTCACAGGCCTTTTACTCAAGTGCTGTATTCAGAAACAAAGAACAAATAAATCATATTCTCAAAAATAAGAATATTGTTACCATCTGCAAAGACAAGACAGTACAAGGCAGAATGAGCTAGAGGTACAAGCTCCCAGGAATTGATTAGGTGAGCACAGGCAGGCCAGGAGGCTCAAAGTCCTCTGTCAGTGAGGAACGGTTCCGAAACCACCCAGTCAGAGAAGGCCAGGAGCCAAGGGGACTGAGTCGTCGGGAAGAACCAGGAGAGGCGTCTCACGTTAGAGTACAAGTGACAGCCCAGATTCCCACAAGGGGAGGCATTCTGGGCTGTACCAGAGATGCCGCCTCAACAGTGGGCAAAATTAATGCAAGAACAGCAGGATGAGAATCTGAGCTCCAACAGAATCAGCTGGAGACAACTGCCAACGTTCACACTCCAGAGGCAGAGGAAACAGCAGAAATCCAAGAACACCTGGCAGCAGCTATGTGTAGGCAGGAGGATGCAGAAAGCTAGGCTACGAGACTGGTCCAGAAACCACTATTACAACAGAGGCCAGAAAGTCCAAAAGACAGTTCAACAGGTCTCTGAGAGGAGTCGATATGCATATAAAGTCAGCTGTTCATCTAAGATCCTAAACCTGGGCCGAGCTCTGACGGTACTACAGGCAGGTCCCGTTCACAATGCTATGTTTCATGGGGCATCTGTTTGTACCTGCTACGAACTGATAGGTGAACAGGCAATGGACAGAGAAGTGAAGCATGTCCTCACTAGGCATTGAGAAACAGGTCACGTGATTGACTGCTCCCTCTGCCAAAGAAGCCAACAGACAGCACAGCTTCTGAGAGGCTCCAACAGACAGCTAGGAACATGACGAGACAATGGAAACAGCCCTCCTTTCCGCCACAAATATGTACACATTTTATCCCTGAAGTTCTTACATGGTCATGTCCCAACACACTACCCCCTGGGGAGCTGAGGCAGTGACTGCTCAATGCAACACAGCAAACCTTAAACAGCAGGTTGGCCCAGCTTACAGGAATGAATGACTTTAGAATACAGGGAACATGGCCAGGTGGTGAGGGCACACATCTTTAATTCCAGCATTCTGGGAGGCAGAGGCAGCTGGATCTCTGTGAGTTTGAGGCCAGTCTAATCTACAGAGGAAATTCCAGGGCAGCCAGAAATACACAAAGAAACCCTGTGTCCAAAAAAAAAAAAAAAAAACAATAACGACAACAAAAAAAAAGGCCTTCAGAAATAACCTACTGCAGCACAGCTTCTGGGTAAGTTATTCTAAACAGGTTTTCTGGGGTTGACTTCTCCTCCTCTCCTTCCTAAAAACCCCAATCTTTGTCAGATGTCAGGTCCCATCTCCTCCCCGAGGCCGATGGAGCCATCGTCCTTCTTGTACATCTTACTCCACACAGTACAACTACTGCCACAGTTCTGAAGTTCTGATAGCCTTGGGGACAGACTCCCCACTGCCTCCCCTTTAAGAAACATGGAAGAAAGGTCACTGGAGACCACTGCTGTGAGCGGATCCCAGGTGCTCAGCACAACGTAGGAGCTACGACATGGCAGGCCCTGTGCTAACTGTCCAGTCGACACTGCCTCGCTTTCACTCTACGGAAGATGAAGGTTCAGACAAGCAAGTGCCATGTCCAGTAACAAAGACACTGTGTGCCAGAGATAGAATCTGAACTCCTTCCCAAGAATAGCTTCTTAACCACCAATGATATTGTTTGGGGCTCACTCAATCAATCAAGATTATTTTATGCCAGCCAGGCAGTGGTGGCACACGCCTTTAATCCCAGCACAGGCAGAGGCTGGCGGATCTCTGTGGGTTCAAGGCCAGCCTGGGCTATAAGAGCTAGTTCCAGGACAGGCTCCCAAAAAAAAAAAAAAAAAAAAA